CAGTGGTGAGCAGTACAGTGGTGAGTGTATAGTTGTGAGCCTAGTGGTGAACAGGGTAGTGGTGAGGAGCATCGTGGTGAGTGCAGAGTGGTGGTGGTGGTGAGTCCAGTACAATGGTGTGTAGTGGTGAGTAGTGTGGTGAGCGAGTGGTGGTGAGCGTAGTGGTGAGTAGCATGGTGTTGAGAAGCGAGCTGGTGGTGAGTGATTGAGTGAGTGGGTGGGTGAGTGATTGAGTGAGTGGATGAGTGAGTGGATGAGTGATTGAGTGAGTGGATGGGTGAGGATGAGTGAGTGAGTGGATGAGTGGATGGGTGAGTGAGTGGGTGAGTGAGTGGTGAGTGAGTGGTGAGTGAGTGGGTGAGTGAGTGGTGAGTGAGTGGTGAGTGAGTGGTGAGTGGTGAGTGCCCACTCACCACGAGTATCCACACCACCAGTGGTGAGTGGTGAGTGACTGAGTGACTGAGTGAGTGAGTGAGTGACTGAGTGACTGAGTGAGTGTGTGTGTAGTGAGTGGTGAGTGGGTGGTGAGTGAGTGAGTAAGTGGTGAGTGAGTGGTGAGTGGTGAGTGTCCCCACTCACCACGAGTATCCACACCACCAGTGGTGAGTGGTGAGTGAGTGGTGAGTGAGTGGTGAGTGGTGAGTGAGTGGTGAGTGAGTGGTGAGTGAGTGGTGAGTGAGTGTCCCCACTCACCACGAGTATCCACACCACCAGTGGTGAGTGAGTGAGTGAGTGACTGAGTGACTGACTGAGTGACTGAGTGTGTGAGTGGTGAGTGTGTGAGTGAGTGAGTGAGTGGTGAGTGGGTGGTGAGTGAGTGGTGAGTGTCCCCACTCACCACGAGTATCCACACCACCAGTGGTGAGTGAGTGGTGAGTGAGTGGTGAGTGGTGAGTATCCCCACTCACCACGAGTATCCACACCACCAGTGGTGAGTGAGTGAGTGAGTGGTGAGTGAGTGGTGAGTGGTGAGTGAGTGGTGAGTGAGTGGTGAGTGAGTGGTGAGTGTCCCCACTCACCACGAGTATCCACACCACCAGTGGTGAGTGAGTGGTGAGTGAGTGGTGAGTGGTGAGTATCCCCACTCACCACGAGTATCCACACCACCAGTGGTGAGTGAGTGAGTGGTGAGTGAGTGGTGAGTGGTGAGTGGTGAGTGTCCCCACTCACCACGAGTATCCACACCACCAGTGGTGAGTGAGTGGTGAGTGAGTGGTGAGTGAGTGGTGAGTGAGTGGTGAGTGAGTGGTGAGTGAGTGGTGAGTGTCCCCACTCACCACGAGTATCCACACCACCAGTGGTGAGTGAGTGGTGAGTGAGTGGTGAGTGAGTGGTGAGTGAGTGGTGAGTGAGTGGTGAGTGAGTGGTGAGTGTCCCCACTCACCACGAGTATCCACACCACCAGTGGTGAGTGAGTGGTGAGTGAGTGGTGAGTGAGTGAGTGGTGAGTGGTGAGTGTCCCCACTCACCACGAGTATCCACACCACCAGTGGTGAGTGAGTGGTGAGTGAGTGGTGAGTGAGTGGTGAGTGAGTGGTGAGTGTCCCCACTCACCACGAGTATCCACACCACCAGTGGTGAGTGAGTGGTGAGTGAGTGGTGAGTGAGTGGTGAGTGAGTGGTGAGTGTCCCCACTCACCACGAGTATCCACACCACCAGTGGTGAGTGAGTGGTGAGTGAGTGGTGAGTGAGTGAGTGGTGAGTGGTGAGTGAGTGGTGAGTGGTGAGTGTCCCCACTCACCACGAGTATCCACACCACCAGTGGTGAGTGAGTGAGTGAGTGGTGAGTGGGTGGTGAGTGAGTGGTGAGTGAGTGGTGAGTGAGTGGTGAGTGTCCCCACTCACCACGAGTATCCACACCACCAGTGGTGAGTGAGTGGTGAGTGAGTGGTGAGTGAGTGGTGAGTGAGTGGTGAGTGAGTGGTGAGTGAGTGGTGAGTGAGTGGTGAGTGTCCCCACTCACCACGAGTATCCACACCACCAGTGGTGAGTGAGTGGTGAGTGAGTGAGTGGTGAGTGTCCCCACTCACCACGAGTATCCACACCACCAGTGGTGAGTGAGTGGTGAGTGAGTGGTGAGTGAGTGGTGAGTGTCCCCACTCACCACGAGTATCCACACCACCAGTGGTGAGTGAGTGGTGAGTGAGTGGTGAGTGAGTGGTGAGTGAGTGGTGAGTGAGTGGTGAGTGAGTGGTGAGTGAGTGGTGAGTGTCCCCACTCACCACGAGTATCCACACCACCAGTGGTGAGTGAGTGGTGAGTGAGTGAGTGGTGAGTGTCCCCACTCACCACGAGTATCCACACCACCAGTGGTGAGTGAGTGGTGAGTGAGTGGTGAGTGAGTGGTGAGTGAGTGGTGAGTGTCCCCACTCACCACGAGTATCCACACCACCAGTGGTGCCCCCACTCATGGCCCTCAGCACCTGCAGCACCGCGTGCGGGGCAACGTTCATCTTGAGCAGGTCCAGCACCACCCTGGGGTCACGTGGGGGTCACGGGGGGTCACGTGGGGGGTCACGTGGGGGGGGGTCACGTGGGGGTCACGGGGGGGGGGGGTGAGGGGGAAGATGGAGGCGGTGTGGGTCTCTGTGGGTGTACTGTAGTGTATAGTGTAGTGTATAGTGTAGTGAATAGTGTAGTGTATAGTGTAGTGTGTAGTGTATAGTGTAGTGTATAGTGTAGTGTATAGTGTAGTGAATAGTGTAGTGTATAGTAGTGTGTAGTGTATAGTGTAGTGTATAGTGTAGTGTATAGTAGTGTGTAGTGTATAGTGTAGTGTTTAGTGTAGTGTATAGTGTAGTGTATAGTGTAGTGTATAGTGTAGTGTATAGTGTAGTAGTGTATAGTGTAGTAGTGTATAGTGTAGTGTGTAGTGGAGTGTATAGTTTAGTGTATAGTGTAGTGTATAGTGTAGTGTAGTGTATAGTGTAGTGTATAGTGTAGTGTGTAGTGTAGTGTATAGTGTGTAGTGTATAGTGTGTAGTGTATAGTGTAGTGTATAGTGTAGTGTAGTAGTGTGTAGTGTATAGTGTAGTGTGTAGTGTAGTAGTGTATAGTGTAGTGTGTAGTGTAGTAGTGTGTAGTGTATAGTGTAGTGTATAGTGTAGTGTATAGTGTAGTGTATAGTTTAGTGTATAGTGTAGTGTATAGTGTAGTGTATAGTGTGTAGTGTATAGTGTGTAGTGTAGTGTATAGTAGTGTATAGTGTAGTGTATAGTGTGTAGTGTATAGTGTAGTGTATAGTGTAGTGTATACAGGCGTGTGTAGCCTAGGGAAGAACAGCAACAAACTAACCACCACTCCCCCACCACAACCACCACCACCTCCACCACCACCCCCCCCCACCCCACCACCACCACCCCCCCTACCCCCACCACCACCACCACCCCCCCTACCCCCACCACCACCACCATCCCCCCTACCCCCACCACCACCACCACCCCCCCACCACCACCACCACCACCCCCCGACGTTCGTGAAGCCACTCACTTGAAGACCTCTGGGTGGAGTCGAACCCCAGCGGCGAGAGCCAGCTCCAGCAGCTCACCCTCGTCACCACCACCACCACCACCGCCACCACCACCACCACCACCGCCACCGCCACCACCGCCAGCTGTCTTCTGCTTCTTTTTCTTCACCGTGGTGGTGGTGGTGGCGGTGGTGACGCCGACGGGCAGCATCTCGGCATTACGGTACGACATGGCAGGCTCGTCCTGGGCAGGGTGGGCAGGTGGGTGGTAGTGTGGGTGGGTGGTAGGGTGGGTGGGTGGTAGTGTGGGTGGGTGGTAGTGTGGGTGGTAGTGTGGGTGGGTGGTGGAGGGGGTGGGTAGCAGAGTGGGTGGGTGGTGGAGGGGGTGGGTAGCAGAGTGGGTGGGTGGTAGTGTGGGTGGTGGAGTGGGTGGGTGGTAGTGTGGGTGGGTGGCAGAGGGGGTGGGTTGCAGAGTGGGTGGGTGTTAGTGTGGGTGGGTGGTAGTGTGGGTGGGTGGGTGGTAGTGTCGGTGGGTGGCAGAGTGGGTGGGTGGTAGTGTGGGTGGGTGGCAGAGGGGGTGGGTGGCAGAGTGGGTGGGTGGTGGAGGGGGTGGGTGGCAGAGTGGGTGGGTGTTAGTGTGGGTGGGTGGTGGCAGAGGAGCAAGTGCTGTAGTTAGTTCACGAGTAGCAGCAGCTGCTATAAAGGCTACCGGCACTGTGGCACACACAGAGGGGGTGGGTGGCCAGCACCACCACTACCCACACACTCACTCACTCACCCACTCACTCACTCACCCACTCACTCACTCACCCACTCACTCACTCACCCACTCACTCACTCACCCACTCACTCACACACTCACTCACTCACCCACCCACTCACTCACCCACTCACTCACTCACCCACTCACCCACCCACTCACACACTCACTCACTCACCCACCCACTCACTCACCCACTCACTCACTCACCCACTCACACACTCACTCACCCACCCACTCACTCACCCACTCACTCACCCACTCAATCACACACTCACCCAGCCACTCACTCACTCACCCACTCACCCACCCACTCACACACCCACACACAACGACAACAACCGCCATTCGCCACTAAGTGGCGGTGACGTCACCACGACGCTTGTGCCAGGCTATGTGCACCGTGAGGCCACGTGAAGTGTCGAACGCCCGCTGGCAGGAGGTCACGGGGCAGACCCAGGTGCCACGGGTCGACTGACTGAGATGACTGGCTGATGCACCACCTGTGCCCCCTACTGTGCCAACCTGCTGTGCTTTAGCCACCCGGCGCTCCGCTCGTTGTTGTGAGCGTCGCACCTCCGCCCTCCGTTGATGTTGGAGGGCGACTGCCTCCAACTGCCCAGTAGCATCCTTCACGAGCCTCCTCCACAGAGGCCGATCTTGACACCGCTGGTACCAGTCATCGGCAAGTCCACTCAGCTCCACGTCCTCCTGTACCACATCACTCCATCTCTTCTCTAGCCCGTGCCGTGCCCGCTTAGCCTCCTCAATCCGGCCGAACAAAAGCTGTTTGGGCATGCGGTGGCTGGGCATGCGGGCTACATGACCCAGCCAACGCAGCCTTGCCTGCCGGAGGAGCTCACCGATGGGACCCTGCCCAGATCTTTCAAGGATTTGTGAGCTCCTCACACAATCCAGTCTGGTTAAACCCAGGATGGATCGTAGGCAGGCCAGCCTAAATGTTTCTAACCGGCGAAGATGTTCCATTAGGGGGGTCCACGTTTCGCAAGCGTAGAGAAGGGAGGGAATGACCGTGGCCGAGAAGACCTGAAGCTTAGTGCGGAGCGACAGACCAGGTAGCTTCCACACAGCGTTACGCAACCGATGAAAAGATATTGCCACTCGACTGATTCGGAGTGAGACCTCTGCTGTTAAACTGGGGCCAGTCATAAGCACACTGCCCAGGTATGGGAAACTCTCCACTCTCTCCACAACTGCCCCATCACCGATTGGGAGTTGTGGGGGTGGAGTGTCCGATGGTACAAAATACCCTGCCAGGTGCTTAGTTTTGGTGGGGCTGATGGTAAGGCCCCACCTCTTAGTGGCACTCACATACACTCACACACTCACCCACACACACACTCACCCACACACACTCACACACACTCACTCACCCACTCACACACTCACCCACTCACACACTCACCCACTCACACACTCATTCACCCAATCACTAACACACTCATTCACCCACCCACCCACTCACACCCACTCACTCACCTACACACACACTCACCCACTCACACACACTCACCCACTCACACACCCACTCACACAATCACTCACCCACACACTCACTCACCCACTGACCCACTCACTCACTGACCCACTCATCCACTGACCCACCCACTCACCCACTGACCCACTCACTCACTGACTCACTCACTCACTGACCCACTCACCCACTCACTCACTGACCCACTCACTCACTGACCCACTCACTCACCCACTCGTGTACACGCAGACACAACACAGACAAAGCTCCCCCAGGTAGCCTCTAGCAGGGCTGTAGGGGCAAGTGCTGCTAGCAGCACCACCTATGACACACACACAGACAAAGCTCCCCCAGGTAGTCTCTAGCAGGGCTGTAGGGGCAAGTGCTGCTAGTAGCGAGTAGCACCACCTATGACGCACACACACAGAGACAAAGCTCCCCCAGGTAGCCTCTAACAGGGCTGTAGGGGCAAGTGCTGTTAGCAGCACCACCTATGATACACACAGAGACAAAGCTCCCCCAGGTAGCCTCTAGCAGGGCTGTAGGGGCAAGTGCTGTGAGTAGCACCACCTATGACACACACACAGAGACAAAGCCCCCCCAGGTAGCCTCTAGCAGGGCTGTAGGGGCAAGTGCTGCTAGTAGCACCACCTATGACGCACACACAGAGACAAAGCTCCCCCAGGTAGCCTCTAACAGGGCTGTAGGGGCAAGTGCTGCTAGTGGCTAGTAGCACCACCTATGACACACACACAGAGACAAAGCCCCCCCAGGTAGCCTCTAGCAGGGCTGTAGGGGCAAGTGCTGCTAGTAGCACCACCTATGACGTACACACACAGACAAAGCTCCCCCAGGTAGCCTCTAGCAGGGTTGTAGGGGCAAGTGCTGCTAGTGGCTAGTAGCACCACCTATGACACACACACACAGACAAAGCTCCCCCAGGTAGCCTCTAACAGGGCTGTAGGGGCAAGTGCTGCTAGTAGCACCACCTATGACACACACACACAGACAAAGCTCCCCCAGGTAGCCTCTAGCAGGGCTGTAGGGGCAAGTGCTGCTAGTAGCGAGTAGCACCACCTATGACACACACACACAGACAAAGCTCCCCCAGGTAGCCTCTAACTGGGCCGTAGGGGCAAGTGCTGCTAGTAGCGAGTAGCACCACCTATGACACACACACACAGACAAAGCTCCCCCAGGTAGCCTCTAGCAGGGCTGTAGGGGCAAGTGCTGCTAGCAGCACCACCTATGACGCACACACAGAGACAAAGCTCCCCCAGGTAGCCTCTAACAGGGCTGTAGGGGCAAGTGCTGCTAGCAGCACCACCTATGACACACACACACAGACAAAGCTCCCCCAGGTAGCCTCTAGCAGGGCTGTAGGGGCAAGTGCTGCTAGCAGCACCACCTATGATACACACACACAGAGACAAAGCTCCCCCAGGTAGCCTCTAACAGGGCTGTGGGGCAAGTGCTGCTAGTAGCACCACCTATGACACACACACACAGACAAAGCTCCCCCAGGTAGCCTCTAGCAGGGCTGTGGGGCAAGTGCTGCTAGTAGCTAGTAGCACCACCTATGACACACAACACAGACAAAGCTCCCCCAGGTAGCCTCTAACAGGGCTGCAGGGGCAAGTGCTGCTAGCAGCACCACCTATGACACACACACACAGACAAAGCCCCCCCAGGTAGCCTCTAACAGGGCTGTAGGGGCAAGTGCTGCTAGTAGCACCACCTATGATGTACACACACACAGACAAAGCTGCCCCAGCACCACGCCTGGCCGCGATTGTCTTCACGGTGTGTCGGCACTCACCACATTCGCAGCGCGGCCAACGAAAACCAACGGAACGTCTTCCGGAAGGTAGACGTCTTCCGGAAGTAGAAGGAACACGTCTTCCGGAAGAAGAAAGACGTCTTCCGGAAGAAAGATGTCTTCCGGAAGAAGAAAATGTCTTCCGGAATAAGGAAGACGTCTTCCGGAAGATGTCTTCCAGAAGGAGGAAGACATCTTCCGGAAGAGGTCTTCCGGAAGAAGAAAGACGTCTTCCGGAAGAAGGAAGACTTCGGGATAAGAAGGCTCAACTAATCGAGTCTCTCACCTTTCTGAAGAGATGCCGCGACTCTAAGGCGCTTTGTTCCTCTCACACAGCTTAAAGGCCGTGATCTGAGCGTGGCTCTTTCACTCCAGCGCTGTCCTCCAGGCAGTCTCGTCCCTTCACCTGATGAAGGCCGCTTGTGTTGTGGCCGAAACGTCGTGAGAATATTAATGTGTTATTTTATTTTATCAATTTATTATTTTATTCTCATTGTACGTGACTTTACCGAAAGAACCAAAGAAGTAAAATTTTGATTTAAAGCTTTCGTGACTGCAGGGATTCATATTCAGAAGGGAAACAATAAAATAGTAAAAATAAAAAACAATAAAATTATTATTCTTGGTTCTTTCGGTAAAGTCACCACCACGTAGAAGGGAAACAATAAAATAATAAAAATATAAAACAATAAAATTATTATTCTTGGTTCTTTGGGTAAAGTCACCACCACGTAGAAGGGAAACAATGAAATAATAAAAATATAAAACAATGAAATTATTATTCTTGGTTCTTTGGGTAAAGTCACCACCACGTAGAAGGGAAACAATAAAATAATAAAAATATAAAACAATAAAAATTTTATTCTTGGTTCTTTGGGTAAAGTCACCACCACGTAGAAGGGAAACAACAAATAATAAAAATATAAAACAATAAAATTATTGTAAAACAATACAATTATTATACTTGGTTCTTTCGGTAAAGTCACCACCACGTAGAAGGAAAACAATAAAATAATAAAACATAAAAAAACAATACAATTCTCACGACGTTTCGACTAGAACACCAAGCAATCATCATCAGTTGTGAAAACCATAACAAGAAAATTTGAAAAAAGTGGCGGTTATTTTGAACGTTAACACCACGGAGAGCGATTTGACAGTTTGTTCAGATGGACTCGTCCAGTTTGTTCAGATGGACGAGTCCAGTTCGTTCAGATGGACTCGTCCAGTTTGTTCAGATGGACTCGTCCAGTTTGTTCAGATGGACTCGTCCAAGCAATCATCATCAGGTGTGAAAACCACGGCAAAAAAAAATATGAAAAAAGTGGCGGTTATTTTGAACGTTAGCACCACGGAGAGAGATTTGACATTTTGTTCAGATGGACTCGTCCAGTTTGTTCAGATGGATTCGACGAGTCCATCTGTTCAGATGGACGAGTCCATCTGAACAAACTGTTAAATCTCTCTCCGTGGTGCAAACATAAAAAATAACCGCCACTTTTTTTCAAAATTTCTTGTTGTGGTTTTCACACCTGATGGCGATTGCTTGTGTTGCAGTCGAAACGTCGTGAGAATTTTATTGTTTTATATTTTTATTATTTTATTGTTTCCCTTCTACGTGGTGACTTTACCGAAAGAACCAAGAATGAATCTCCAACTTACTCAAAATGGCGGACGCCCCCCCCTCCGGCTCTTACCTAACATGGCGACGCCTATCCTTACCCAAAATGGCCGATTAACACTTCACTGACCGACTTATAGCCGCTATCCATTCCCCAGTGCCCCCCACGTCCCCCGCGCAAACCACCACGTCGTCTCAACGTCGTCTCAACGTCTCCTCAACGTTGCCTCAACGTCGACTCCAACTCGGCCGGCCATCTTACCAAGGGGTGGGTGGTTGGGGGTCAACCGGGACAAAGTCCCACATCTCACGACACCATCGCGATGACGTCACGACAACCCACGATGTACATGACGTCAGGAGGGGCGGTGGAATGCCGCGACGCTACAAAGACGTCATGTCAACCGACGTCAGAGTGGCGTGCGATTACGCAGGGATGACGTAACGGCTACTCACAAAGTATATGACGTCACGGAGGGGGGTGTTGGTAGTGTGCCGTGAAGCCGCGATTACGTCACGACAACCCACACTTTACATGACGTCAGGGGGTGGCAGAGGTTGGTAAGGAGCCGTGAAGCCGCGATGACGCCGCAAACAACTCCCGCGACGTGCGTGACGTCATCCGCGAGGTGCTCCGTGACCCCCCCTCCGCGATGACGCCACGTCACCCAGACGTCAGCGGGGCCGAATGGGGGGTGGCCCGGCGCGCGCCATTTCACGTCGATGACGTCACGACAGCCCCGCCGACGCTTCGGACGACGATGACGTCACGGTTGACGATGACGTCATCCTCGACGTAAGTCTTCTCGCGTGGAGTGACTTCGTTTGACCGCTGCAAGGCCTCTTACCACCGCCACCACAATCACCTTCACCACCCTCGTCGTCGCCAGCACAGGGAAAGCAACCATGGTGGCCTACTGGAGACAAGCGGGCATCAGGTGACCAACAACACCACCAACAACACCGCCACCACTACCACCACCATCACCACCACCAACACCACCACCAAAACTACCACCAAAACTATCACTACCACCACCATCACCACCAACAACACCGCCACCACTACCACCACCATCACCACCACTACCACCACCAACACCACCATCACCACCATCACCACTACCAACACCACCACCAACACTATCACTACCACCACCATCACCACCACCATCACCACCACTACCACCACCAACACCACCATCACCACTACCAACACCACCACCAACACTATCACTACCACCACCATCACCACCACCATCACCACCATCACTACCACTATCACCATCATCACCACCATCACCACTACCAACACCATCATCACCACCATCACCACCAACACCACCACCACCAACACTATCACTACCATCACCACCACCATCACTACCACCATCACCATCATCACCACCATCACCACTACCAACACCATCATCACCACCATCACCACTACCACCATCACCACCATCACCACCATCATCACCATCACCACCACCATCATCACCATCATCACCACCATCACCACTACCAACACCACCACCAACACTATCACTACCACCACCATCACCACCACCATCACCACCATCACTACCACCATCATCACCACCATCACCACTACCAACACCATCATCACCACCATCACCACTACCACCATCACCACCACCATCACTACCACCATCACCACCACCATCACCACCACCATCACCACCATCACCACCATCATCACCACCACCATCATCACTACCACCACACCATCACCACCACCACACCACTGCCCGTGACCTCCCTCCCTTCAAACAACGTAGGGCCTTGGACGTGCACCTAGCCTGGCACACCGCACACGTGACCGCGGTACCGGAGGGGAAATCCGACAATCCGTAAAGCTCTTTGCTCTGCGGTGATTATCGCCCCATGCGCGCGCAGAGACGTGAAGTGACCTTGCACCAAAGACAGAGGTCACCCAGGTAGCCTCGATCAGGGCTGTCTCGCTGGGGCAAGTGGTGTTAGTTGTGGCGAGTAGCAGCAGCACCACCACACGTGACACACACACAAAGATCACTCACCCACTCACCCACCTACTCACCCACCCACTCACCCACCCACTCATCCACTCACTCTCCCACCCACTCACCCACGCACTCACTCACCCACTCACCCACTCACTCACCCACTCACTCACCCACTCACTCACCCACCCACTCACTCACCCACCCACTCACTCACCCACTCACTCACTCACCCACTCACTCACCCACCCACTCACCCACCCACCCACTCACCCACCCACTCATCCACTCACTCTCTCACCCTTTCTCCCACCCACTCACCCACTCACTCACTCACCCACCCCCACTCACTCACCCACCCACTCACTCACCCACTCACTCACTCACCCACTCACTCACTCACCCACTCACTCACCCACCCACTCACTCACCCACTCACTCACTCACCCACTCACTCACTCACCCACTCACTCACCCACTCACTCACTCACCCACCCACTCACCCACCCCATCACTCACTCACCCACTCACTCACTCACCCACCCACTCACTCACCCACTCACTCACCCACTCACTCACTCACCCACTCACTCACTCACCCACTCACTCACCACCCACTCACCCACCCACTCATCCACTCACTCTCTCACCCGTTCTCCCACCCACTCACCCACTCACTCACTCACCCACCCCACTCACCCACTCACTCACGCACCCACCCATTCACCCACCCACCCATTTACCCACTCACCCACTCACTCACCCCACTCACCCACCCACTCACCCACCCCACTCACTCACCCACCCCACTCACTCACCCACCCCACTCACCCACTCACTCACTCACCCACTCACTCACGCACCCACCCATTCACCCACCCATACACCCACCCATTTACCCACTCACTCACCCACCCACTCACTCACCCACTCACTCACCCACTCACTCACCCACCCACGCACTCACCCACTCACTCACCCACCTACTCACCCACCCAATCACCCACCCATTCACCCACCCACTCACTCACTCTCCTACCCATTCTCCCACTCACCCACTCACTCACCCACTCACTCACCCACTCACCTACTCTCCCCTCCACCTCCCCTCCCTCCCTCCCTCCACCACAGCTACATTCGCTACTCAGAGATCTGCGCCCGTGTGGTCCGGGCGGTCCTCAAGCCGGAGTTCCGGGGCGAGGCGCTCAAACGGACAGCGACCACCATCCGCCTGGTGAAGCCTGCAGGAACCAAGACGCAGTAGGTGAGTGGTGGGTGGGTGGGTGGGTAAGTGGGTGTGTGAGTGAGTGGGTGAGTGGTGGGTGGGTGGGGGGGTGAGTGGGTGGGTGGGTGGGTGAGTGGGTGGGTGGGGTGGTGAGTGGGTGGGTGGGTGGGGTGGTGAGTGGGTGGGTAAGTGGGTGTGTGAGTGAGTGGGTGAGTGGTGGGTGGGTGGGTGGGGGGGTGAGTGGGTGGGTGGGTGAGTGGGTGGGTTAGTGGGTGAGTGAGTGAGTGGTGGGTGGGTGGGTGAGTGAGTGGGTGGGTGGGTGCGTGAGTGAGTGGGTGGGTGAGTGAGTGGGTGGGTGAGTGAGTGGGTGGGTGGGTGAGTGAGTGGGTGGGTGAGTGAGTGGGTGGGTGGGTGAGTGGGTGGGTGGGTGAGTGGGTGGGTGGGTGAGTGAGTGGGTGGGTGAGTGGGTGGGTGGGTGAGTGGGTGGGTGAGTGGGTCAGTGAGTGGGTGGGTGAGTGGGTGGGTGGGTGAGTGAGGGGTGGGTGGGTGAGTGGGTGGGTGGGTGAGTGGGTGAGTGGGTGGGTGGGTGGGTGAGTGGGTGGGTGGGTGAGTGAGGGGTGGGTGGGTGAGTGGGTGGGTGGGTGAGTGAGGGGTGGGTGGGTGAGTGGGTGAGTGGGTGGGTGAGTGGGTGGGTGAGTGAGGGGTGGGTGGGTGAGTGGGTGGGTGGGTGAGTGGGTGGGTGAGTGGGTGGGTGGGTGAGTGGGTGAGTGAGTGGGTGGGGGGGTGGGTGGGGGGGTGAGTGGGTGGGTGAGTGGGTGGGTGGGTGAGTGGGTGGGTGGGTGAGTGGGTGGGTGGGTGGGTGAGTGGGTGGGTGAGTGGGTGGGTGAGTGGGTGGGTGGGGGGGTGGGTGGGGGGTGAGTGGGTGGGTGTGTGGGTGAGTGAGTGGGTGAGTGGGTGAGTGAGTGGGTGAGTGAGTGTGTGAGTGGATGGGTGGGTGAGTGAGTGGGTGAGTGGGTGGGTGAGTGAGTGAGTGGATGGATGGGTGAGTGAGTGGGTGAGTGAGTGGGTGAGTGGGTGGGTGGGTGAGTGGGTGGGTGGGTGAGTGGGTGGGTGAGTGGGTGGGTGAGTGGGTGGGTGGGGGGGTGGGTGGGGGGTGAGTGGGTGGGTGAGTGGGTGAGTGAGTGGGTGAGTGAGTGTGTGAGTGGATGGGTGGTGAGTGAGTGGGTGAGTGGGTGGGTGAGTGAGTGAGTGAGTGGATGGATGGGTGAGTGAGTGGGTGAGTGAGTGGGTGAGTGAGTGGGTGGGTGAGTGGGTGAGTGGGTGGGTGGGTGAGTGAGTGGGTGGGTGAGTGGGTGGGTGAGTGGGTGGGTGGGTGAGTGAGTGGGTGGGTGGGTGAGTGAGTGAGTGGGTGAGTGAGTGGGTGGGTGGGTGAGTGTGTGGGTGAGTGGGTGGGTGGGTGAGTGAGTGAGTGGGTGAGTGAGTTTGTGGGTGAGTGGGTGGGTGAGTGGGTGGGTGGGTGTGGGGTGAGTGGGTGGGTGGGTGAGTGTGTGGGTGAGTGAGTGGGTGAGTGAGTGGGTGAGTGGGTGGGTGAGTGGGTGGGTGAGTGGGTGGGTGAGTGGGTGGGTGGGTGAGTGGGTGAGTGGGTGAGTGAGTGGGTGAGTGAGTGGGTGAGTGAGTGAGTGGGTGAGTGAGTGGGTGAGTGAGTGGGTGGGTGAGTGGGTGAGTAAGTGAGTGAGTGGGTGAGTGAGTGGGTGGGTGAGTGGGTGGGTGGGTGAGTGGGTGGGTGAGTGGGTGGGTGGTACTCTCACCTCTTCCAAGATGACTGCCACCAGGGCGTGGAAGAGTAGGCCAAACACCGCTCACCGTCTTTCCCCTTTCTCCTGCGCTCACAGGAAGTGAACCCCAATGGATGCTGGGATACCTCCACAACCCCTCCCCCCCTCCGCAGACTCAGGGATGTGGAACTGAGACACCCAGCTGACTCACTCACTCACCCGCTCACCCTCTCACTCACCCTCTCACTCACCCGCTCACTCACTCACTCACCCACTCACTCACCCACTCACTCACCCTCTCACTCACCCTCTCACTCACCCGCTCACCCTCTCGCTCACCCTCTCACTCACCCTCTCACTCACCCTCTCACTCACTCACTCACCCACTCACTCACCCACTCACTCACCCTCTCACTCACCCTCTCACTCACCCGCTCACCCTCTCGCTCACCCTCTCACTCACCCTCTCACTCACCCCCTCACCCTCTCACTCACCCTCTCACTCACCTACTCACTCACTTGCTCACCCGCTCACTCACCCTGTAACTCACCTACTCACTCACTCACCCTCTCACTCACCCTCTCACTCACTTGCTCACCCGCTCACTCACTCACCCACTCACTCACTCACCTACTCACTCACTTGCTCACCCGCTCACTCACCCTCTCACTCACCTACTCACTCACTTTGCTCACCCGCTCACCCTCTCACTCACACCTCTCACTCACACGCTCACCCACTCACTCGCACGCTCACTCACTCACACCCAGACGCTCACCCAGACGCTCACCCTTTGATGCTGTAAGATCCCAGTGTTGTTCAATAAACCTGGAGCCTCCCCTGTGTCTCAGTGTGTCTCAGTGTGTCTGAGTGTGTCTGTGTGTGTCTCAGTGTCTCAGTGTGTCTCTGTGTTTCTCTGTGTGTCTCTGTGTCTGTGTCTCAGTGTGTGTCTCAGTGTGTCTGTGTGTGTCTCAGTGTGTCTGTGTGTGTCTCTGTGTTTCTCTGTGTCTGTGTGTGTCTCTGTGTTTCTCTGTGTCTGTGTGTGTCTCAGTGTGTGTCTGTGTGTCTCAGTGTGTGTGTCTGTGTCTCAGTGTGTGTGTCTGTGTGTGTCAGTGTCTCAGTGTGTCTGTCTCAGTGTGTCTGTGTGTGTCTCAGTGTGTGTCTGTGTCTCAGTGTGTCTCAGTGTGTTTCAGTGTGTCTGTGTGTGTCTCAGTGTGTCTGTGTGTGTCTGTGTGTGTCTGTGTGTGTCTCAGTGTGTGTCTCAGTGTGTCTCAGTGTGTGTGTGTCTCAGTGTGTCTGTGTGTGTCTCAGTGTGTCTGTGTGTGTCTCAGTGTGTCTGTGTGTCTCAGTGTGTGTGTCTCAGTGTGTCTGTGTGTTTCTCTGTGTCTGTGTGTGTCTCAGTGTGTCTGTGGGTGTCTGTGTGTGTCTCAGTGTGTGTGTCTGTCTCAGTGTGTGTGTCTGTGTGTGTCAGTGTCTCAGTGTGTTTCAGTGTGTCTGTGTGTCTCAGTGTGTCTGTGTGTCTCAGTGTGTCTGTGTGTCTCAGTGTGTGTCTCAGTGTGTGTCTGTGTCTCAGTGTGTCTCAGTGTGTCTCTCTGTCTCAGTGTGTCTCTGTGTGTCTCAGTGTGTTTCAGTGTGTCTGTGTGTGTCTCAGTGTGTGTCTGTGTGTCTCTGTGTGTCTCAGTGTGTCTCAGTGTGTCTCTGTGTGTCTCAGTGTGTCTCTGTGTGTCTCAGTGTGTTTCAGTGTGTGTGTCTCAGTGTGTCTGTGTGTGTCTGTGTGTGTCTCAGTGTGTGTCTGTGTCTCAGTGTGTCTGTGTCTCAGTGTGTCTGTGTGTGTCTCAGTGTGTCTGTGTGTGTCTCAGTGTGTGTCTGTGTCTCAGTGTGTCTCAGTGTGTCTCTGTGTGTCTCTGTGTGTCTCAGTGTGTCTCAGTGTGTTTCAGTGTGTCTGTGTGTCTCAGTGTGTCTGTGTGTGTCTCAGTGTGTCTGTGTGTGTCTCAGTGTGTGTCTGTGTGTGTGTATGTGTGTGTCTCTCCGTGTGTCTCAGTGTGTATGTCTCAGTGTGTCTATGTCTCAGTGTGTGTGTCTGTGCAGTGTGTGTGTGTCTCAGTGTGTGTATCTGTGTCTCTGTGTGTATCTGTGTGTCTGTGTCAGTGTGTGTGTCTCAGTGTGTCTAAGTGTGTCTCAGTGTGTGTCTCAGTGTGTCTCTGTGTGTCTGTGTCTCAGTGTGTGTCTCAGTGTGTCTCTGTGTCTGTGTGTGTGTCTCAGTGTGTCTCTGTGTGTGTGTCACAGTGTGTCTCAGTGTGTGTGTGTGTCTGTGTGTGTATCTGTGTGTCTGTGTGTCAGTGTGTGTCTGTCTCAGTGTCTCAGTGTGTCTGTGCGTGTCTCAAAATAGATGTTAAATAATGTGGGAGCCAGAGGACATCCCTGTCGTACCCCAAGGTGTACAGGGAATGGCTCTGACTCCCAGCCATGTAGTTTTACCCGGGCCCGCTCACCATCATGAAGGTCCTTAATGATCGTGAGCAGAGGGTCAGGGACTCCAAAAGCACGAAGAACAACCCAGAGCCCAGGCCTACTGATGGTATCATAGGCCTTGACCAGGTCAATAAAGCAGAGATGTAGGTCTTGCTGGAATTCTCTACATCTCTGCTGTAGCAGACAGACAGAAAATATGGCATCTGTGCAGGACCGCCCGTTCCTGAAACCGCATTGGGGCTCCGCAAGCCTCTCAGCGTGCCTGGCAAGGCGATGTTGAATAATCCTTGCCAGGACCTTTCCTGGCACACTGATGTGTGAGATGCCCCTGTAGTTGTTATAGTCTGTGCGGTCCCCCTTCTTAAAGAAGGGGACCACCAGGGCATCCTTCCAATCCTGCGGAACATCTATTTTGACCACGTAGTTCGTGAAGCCTTCAATAGCTGTATCGGGGGAATCTCCATTTGGTACAGATATAATGGGAGGCTGATCGATGCCCGGGTGCGGGCAAGGGATGGCTCCCTATTGCTCAACCACGTTATGTATGCCGATGATTTGGTAATAGCTGCTCATTCAGATGCGGAGTTGGAGACGCTGCAGCTGCTGAGACTGCAGCGTGCCACTAAGAGGTGGGGCCTTACCACCAGCCCTACCAAAACTAAGCACCTGCCTGGGTATTTTGTACCATCGGACACTCCACCCCCACAACTCCCGATCGGTGATGGGGCAGTTGTGGAGAGAGTGGAGAGTTTCCCATACCTGGGAAGTGTGCTTATGACCGGCTCCAGTTTAACAGGAGAGGTCTCACTCCGAATCAGTCGAGCGGCAATATCTTTTCATCGGCTGCGTAACGCTGTGTGGAAGCTACCTGGTCTGTCGCTCCGCACTAAGCTTCAGGTCTTCTCGGCCACGGTCATTCCCTCCCTTCTCTACGCTTGCGAAACGTGGACCCCCCTAATGGAACATCTTCGCCGGTTGGAAACATTTAGGCTGGCCTGCCTACGATCCATCCTGGGTTTAACCAGACTGGATTGTGTGAGGAGCTCACAAATCCTTGAAAGATCTGGGCAAGGTCCCATCGGTGAGCTCCTCTGGCGGGCAAGGCTGCGATGGCTGGGTCATGTAGCCCGCATGCCCAGCCACCGCATGCCGAAACAGCTTTTGTTTGGCTGGATTGAGGGGGCTAAGCGGGCGCGGCACGGGCTAGAGAAGAGATGGAGTGATGTGGTACAGGAGGACGTGGAGCTGAGTGGACTTGCCGATGACTGGTACCAGCGGTGTCAAGATCCGCCTCTGTGGAGGAGGCTCGTGAAGGACGCTACTGGGCAGTTGGAGGTAGTCGCCCTCCAACAACAACGGAGGGCGGAGGAGCGATGCTCACAACAACGAGCGGAGCGCCGGGTGGCTAAAGCACAGCAGGTTGGCACAGTAGGGGGCACAAGTGGTGCATCAGCCAGTCATCTCAGTCAGTCGACCCGTGGCACCTGGGTTTGCCCCGTGACCTCCTGCCAGCGGGCGTTCGACACTTCACGTGGCCTCAATGTGCACATAGCCTGGCACAAGCGTCGTGGTGACGTCACCGTCACTTAGTGGCGAATGGCGGTTGTTGTGTGTCTGTGTGTGTCTGTGTCTTAGTGTGTCTGTGTGTGTGTCTGTGTGTCAGTCATGTGTCTTAGTGTGTCTGTGTGTGTCAGTGTGTCTCAGTGTGTCTTAGTGTCTCAGTGTGACTCTGTGTCTCTGTGTCTCAGTGTGTGTCTGTGCCTCAGTGTGTCTGTGTCTCAGTGTCTGTGTGTCTCAGTGTGTCTCAGTGTGTCTGTGTATCTGTGTGTCAGTGTGTATGTGTGTGTCTCAGTGTGTCTGTGTCTCAGTGTGTCTGTGTTTGTCTCAGTGTGTCTCAGTGTGTGTCATTGTGTCTGTGTGTGTGTCTCAGTGTGTCTCTGTGTCTCAGTGTGTCTGTGTGTGTCTCAGTGTGTCTCTGTGTCTCAGTGTGTCTCAGTGTGTGTCTGTGTCTCAGTGTGTCTGTGTGTGTCTCAGTGTGTCTCAGTGTGTCTGTGTGTGTGTCTAAGTGTGTCTGTGTGTGTGTGTCTCAGTGTGTCTGTGTGTGTGTGTCTAAGTGTGTCTGTGTGTGTCTCCGTGTGTCTCTGTGTGTCTCAGTGTGTCTGTGTGTCTCAGTGTGTCTGTGTGTCTCAGTGTGTCTGTGTGTGTCTCAGTGTGTCTCAGTGTGTCTCAGTGTGTCTGTGTCTGTGTGTATGTGTCTCAGTGTGTCTGTGTGTGTGTCTAAGTGTGTCTGTGTGTGTCTCCGTGTGTCTCTGTGTGTCTCAGTGTGTCTGTGTGTCTCAGTGTGTCTGTGTGTGTCTCAGTGTGTCTCGGTGTGTCTGTGTGTGTCTCAGTGTGTCTCAGTGTGTCTGTGTGTGTGTCTCAGTGTGTCTGTGTGTGTGTCTCAGTGTGTCTCAGTGTGTCTGTGTGTGTGTCTCAGTGTGTCTGTGTGTGTGTCTCAGTGTGTGTATGTGTGTCTCAGTGTGTCTGTGTGTGTGTCTCAGTGTGTCTGTGTGTCTCAGCGTGTCTGTGTGTGTGTGTCTCAGTGTGCGTCAGTGTGTCTCAGAGTGTCTGTGTGTGTCTCTCTGTGTGTGTGTCTGTGTGTGTCTCTCTGTGTCTATGTGTGTGTGTTTCAGTGTGTCTGTGTGTCTGTGTCTCAGTGTGTCTGTCTCTCAGTGTGTCTCAGTGTGTCTCAGTGTCTCAGT